CTTCCGAGGAGTGGCTGGTGGGTTTGAACCACCAGAGCTTCCATAGGAAAGTTTATTAAACACTTTTTAAATTGTGGGAGGAAACACCCAAAATGTCTGCTATTACTTCACACCTGAAAGAAGGGCTGGGGTTGGGGGTGGCTGACTTAAGACCCTCTCACCCAACACACTGAAAAGACGGTGTGCTCTCCACTACACTGCAAGATAACGCCTCCCAGTAAGACACAAAGCTGTAATACTCAAAACTCACTGCCATCGAGTCGATTGCAACTCATAGCAACCTCTCCTTGGGTTTCCAAGGCAGCAAATATGGAAGTAGACTGCCCAGTCTTCCTTCCATGGAGTGGCTGGTGGGTTTGAACCTCCAGCCTTCTGGTCAGCAGTCAAATGCCTTAGGCACTACGCCACCAGAGTTCCGTCAAAGCTGTAAATAAAAGAACTAAAAAGTCCAACCAACTTCTCATGTTTCCTACACTTGTCACTTTGACCCATTTTTTCAGTTTGAAAGCTCTCACTCCTCCTCGCTCCTGTGCCCAAGATCTGCTGAGCCCTCTGCACGTGGCAGGTCTGTCAGCTGGGTCACCCCACATAGCTGGAGGTCTGCTTGCCTCGGGAGCCAGGTCACGGCTGTCCCACTCAGGGGTCGGTGAGGATGACGAGTAAGGGGATGGGGGGAGGTGGCCGTTTGTGCTCGGGGGCATGGGGGCCTCTGAGATGGAAACCTGTCCTTGTGGGGGTTCGTCTTCACTTGGTCACTTCTGATTGTGGGGATGCTCCATTGGCCTGAGAGGACCCCGTGAGCCCACAGAGGGTTCCTCGTGGAGGAGAGGTGCTGGCTGGTCACTGGGCTCAGCCGCAGAGTTTTGAGGTGGGTGTGGTGGTCACCTCTGAAGCCCTCCTGAACCCACCACCTATGACAGCTGGGGGTGGAAGTGGAAAAGCAGTTACTAAGGAGCCTAGGGCTTCAGTGTCCAGCATGGTAACCTACCACCTGGATCCTGCTGGGAACGAGGACTGTGAGACTGCACAGACCCTTTTAACAGCGCCCTCGTGTGGCAGCAACCAGACCAGCGGCTGGTGCACTGTCAGCCTGTCCTCACGCACCCCTGGGCCAAGTGTGGACGCCGGACAGCCAACTCCAGGAGCATTCAGGAAGGCAAGGCTCCCAGGCATGCGGAATCATACACGCTCCAGGAATTAACCGGAATACAGAAGAGGGACTCGAACCTCCGAAGCAGGTGGACTAGGCAGGCCTGCTCCACATCCCCTCCCTCCCGACCAGGGGCAGGTGGTCCGTTGCGTCCAGCCCCCTACAGGCTCTATGAAGATCTCCGTGGCTCCCGGTGCCAGGCTGAGTGTGGGGGCTCCGGGGAAGGAGGCAGGGACCGTGGGGACAGGGGCCGGCTCCCAGTCTGAACCTCAAGTTTCCCACATTCCTGACATGGCCCCCAGGCTGTGACTCCAGGAGTCTCGTCCTCACACACACACACCTGCAGCTCCGGGTGCACGGTGCCCGCCAGGTCCCCGTCCTCGGTGCGGGGAAAGTCCACGCGGCTCACGGTTCTGTATGCGTCCATCTCAAAGGCCGGGAAGGCTGTGCCTGCGTGGGGGCTGCGTGTGAGAGCCGTCCCTTCTCCAGGCCAGGGATGGAGTGAGCGTGGGGTCACGCAGGGCCGGACCCCAGCCCGCCTCCGTCGCTGGGCCTCAGTTTCCCTGCAAGCGTCTGGGGCCTCACCCTGGTTGAAGAGCTCAATGAAATCCAAAGCTTTGCCCACCAGGGACTTCATCCGGAGGAAAAGGTCGGCCCGCAGCACGCCCTGAGGTTGGGGGCCCAGCTCCAGCGCTGGGCGGAAGAGAAGGAGTTCGGCAGGCGCTCCGAGGGGGCTGCCGTCAACAGGCTCCGCCCCCGGCCCGTAGACTCCGCCCCGGCCCTAAGGCTCCTCCCCCTGCCTCGGAGGCCCTGGCCCGCAGACCCCGCCCCCAACCCGCAGACCCCCGCCCCCTCAACGAGAGCCCCGCCTTCCTCTGGCTACGCGCCCCCTCCCTGCCCGCCTGGCCCCGCCCCTGGCCCCACCCACTTCCCACATGGCCACGGCCCACCCATTCCATTCTTGGCCACAGAGTCGATGCTGTAGCTCTCCTCCCCCGGCAGCTGGTAGAGGAATACCGGGCAGGGTAGCTCGGGGCTCTGCAGCTGGGGGCAGAACGGGCAGCTCAGGGCCTCGGCCGACTGGGAAGGGGAAACTGAGGCGTGGGAGTGGGGAATTGAGGAAGCAGAGGGCACGCCGGCCTGGCGGCCGCCTCGCTCCACCCTCTTGCAGGAGGGTGGTGTATCAGACATCCGGGGATGTCCGCCGGTGGCAGGCCCGGGGGCTGGGGTCGAGGGGAAACGGAGGCCCAGCGCAGACGGGCCATTATGGGACGCCTTCTGCCTTGCCCCGCCCCCACCCTCCCTCGCTCTGCCCTCGGGGGGCCTGGTGCGCGGGGACTGGGCCACCTGTAGGTGGCGGCACAGATGCATGGCAAACACGTTGTGAGCACTGTCCGCGATGAGGCAGGTCCCCATGTTGGCCGTGGTGTTATGCAGGTCCACGACGAAGTCGAAAGCCAGGCCAGAGGCCTTGGGCCCCAGCAGCTGGTTCAGCTCGCGGGCCCTGGTCACCTCATATGGGTCCTCTGGGGTGGGCCTGGCGCTGCAGGGGGCAGGAACGGATACGGACTCTGCCAGCTTCAGCCATCACCACTTTAATGGGGCAGCCGCATGCTGCTGCCAGGAGGGGGCCCCTGAGGCTGGGCAGGGAGACTGGCTCAGGGCTCTTCCTGGGCTGTCAGTCTGGCCGCCTCTGCTCACAGCCCTGGTGGGCTCCCCACTGCGCCCATGGAAGTCCAACCCCTCACCACAGCCCAGCCGGCCAGTGCGCTGCCTTCCTCTGGATGTCTAACTCCAGCTACACCTCCCCCAGCACCAGCTGGTCATCCCTCTCAGGCTGTGCACTTGCCCATCCCTGGCTGGAACCTCCTTCTCTCATGTGTTCACCCGGTTAACTTCTCCTGACCCTTGGAGCTTGGCTGAGCTAAAGGTTGGGAGTGCTGGCCCTCCCCGCCTCCTGCAGCTCCACCCCACACTGCTACATGCAGCGGCAGCGGCCGCCGTCCATTGAGTCCAGGACACGGGGGCCAGCGAGGGCCCCTGCTGGGGACCTGCTCACCAGCCCTCCCTGATTGCGCATGAGGAGATTCAGTTCTCTGTGTAGCCCCTAGCCCTGCATGTAGGCTCCTCAGTTGTTGCTGGGTTTCTCAACTGTTTCCCCCTGTAAACTGAGGACAACACCTGGGTCCTCCTTCCCAGGCCCTGGCCTGGAGACTATCCATTGTGGGAAGGTGTGAATGTTAGTTGTCATAAAACAAGTAAGCACAGCCAGTGGGGCTGATCTGGGGGGACCCAGCCTGGAGTCAGGGAGGGCTTCCTGGAGGAGGTGACGTCAGTCTTGATTTCTCTAAATGGGGAGGAATGGGCATGGCAGGAAGAGGTGTGTGTGTGTGTGTGTGTGTGCCCTCTGCACGGCTGGAGGAACCTTGAGGTGGGAGCCTCAGTGTCAGGCTAGGGGCTGGGCCAGTCTGGCAGGCAAGGGCACTCACGTGAGGAAGGAGCTGGTGAAAGTTCTGTTGAGATCACGGCCCACATATCGGCGGCAGGCGGCCGTGGCCTCTGGGTTGGCCAGCACGGGCATGGTGGAGAAGCTAGGCCTCTGCAGTTCTGCTGGTGCCCGCAGCCAGTGCCGGGCCAGGTAGACGCCAGACATCTCATTGCCGTGGGTGCCCCCGGTCACAGCCACGCGGCGCAGGGGCTCCCGGGGCACAGGCAGGGAGCACATGTCGGTGTGACGTGGGGCTTAGGAGGCTCTGGATGGAGACGTGGGCCCAGTGCTCAGAGCTGCCTGGGACAGAGGTGGTGAGCTCCCTGGGGCCAGAGGAATCCAAGCTGGGCAGGTGCCTGGCTGTCAAAAGGGTCGTGATATCAGCTGGATGAAGGAAACGTCAAGCCTTTCCGGGCCCCACCCTTGGGGGCCAGTTGGACGTGTCCCACCTGCACCCCCAGTGGCCCAGGTCAAGGCCGCCCTCAGTTGAAGGTGCTTGAAGTCCCTCCAGTTGCACCCTTCCTTGAAGGACGGCCATTGCCCTCTCCACCTTTCTCTCAGGAGACTTCTCTGGCTCCAGTTTGCAGGGAGGACGTCTCTCCTCAGTTGAGAAGAGGGGCTCAGACATTTGGGGAGATGGAGTCACCAGGGCATACTCCCTACAGGAAGGGGACTGAGTGCCCATTTTATAGACGGGAAAAGAGAGGACAACATGGAGAGTGGAGTGTGTCATTTGATTAGCTGTGAAATCTCTGGACTCCACGCAATTCTGCTCCTTTCTGCACTTCCCAGCGCTCCTCTGAGTGGGTGCAGGGCCTTTGGGGGGCTTGCTTACCTGGGGATTCAGGTCCGAGCTCCCTGGGCTGCCAGGATTAGGGGGCTGGCCTCCAAGACGGACTGGTATTTATGGACCCTGGGAAGCCCCAGGGAGGAAGTATTTCTGCAGAGTTGGCCCAGTAGCCAGGGTGGGTGGGGCGGGCTGAGGTCCAGCTAAAGGTTGGGAGCCGTGGGCCCTTCCCGCCCCCAGCATCACCCTCCACGCTGCTATTTTCAGTGGCGCTGTGAGGGCCCACTGAGTCCAAGGTACAGGACAGCCCCATCCAGGGCCCAGAGGCAGGGCTCTCATGGGGAGCTGCTCCCGGCCTCGGAAGATGGCTGGCAAGGATTCCAGAAGGCCTGGGGTGAAGAGGCACTGCCCCAAAAAGGATTTGAGCTGAGCCTGCAGGACAGCCAAGTTCAAGCCATTTAGCCACACAGGTGTCAGCCAAGAGCAGAGGGGACTTGAAAAAACAAACAAAAAACCAACTCACTGGCGTCAAGTCAATTCCAACTCATAGCAACCGCTCCTTGAGTTTCTGAGGCGGTATGTCTACGGAAGTAGATTGCCCAGTCCTTCCCAGGATTGGCCGGTGGTTTTGAACCGCCAGCCTTCTGGTTAGCAGTCAAATGCCTTAGGCTGAGTCCAGCCCACACCTCTGGCTGAATCTGCCCGGAGGGTACCTGCCTTAACTTGACTAAGAGGCTGTGGTGTTGTAAGAGTTGGGGTGTGTGACTTCGACCACCAGACCAGGCCACTGCTAAGTCACTGTCAAGCCATGTGTCTCGGTAGCCACCCAGGTGAGGAGGGTCCCCTCCCCTCCCTCTCAGCACCATGCTTGTCCTTGGAGTCCCCAGAGGACCCTGCTCACTTGTCACCTTTGCTCTATGGGCTGTGCCCTTTGGGGTCCCAACTTTACTGCTCTCTGGTGTTTGAAACAGTAGTTCAAAACATTCAGCCACTTTCTGTTTTTAGGAGCAGGTTGATCCAAATGACGGGGCCTCAGCCCTGTTCACAGGTGGAGAAACTGAGGCTCAGAAGGAGTGGGTGTCCTCACTCGAGGGCACCCAGGGCGTTAGGAGCAGAGCTAGGATTGGAACCTAGGGCTGCCCAGCCCAAGCCCACCCTCCCCCAACTGCTTTTCACAGGGAGCAGGGTGGCAGTCCCCTGCACCTAGCCCCTGGGCCTGCCTTCCTGTCAGCCTGGCTGGGCACTGGGAGGATGGCTGTGAGGTCACTGAGGGAGAGAGGGACAGAGAACCACCCCAGCCAGTTACCAGTGCCCGCTGTCTGCCAGGCCCTGGGGCTCTGATCCTGGTCCACTACCAGATGCCAAAGCTGATGCCATCTGCCCCAGCTGGGCCCCTCTGTGCCAACCCTTCTTACAGTTGCCTAACCCGCTGTTCTGGTTCCCCAGTGCCACTCTGACAAGAATAGACCACAAATGGGACGGCCTTAACAAACAGGAGTTTATTCCTACAATTGGAGGCTTTAAGTCCAAGTTCAAAGTGGCAGGCTCTAGGGGCCGGGTGAAAGCCCCTCAGCCTTGGGGTCCAGCTCTGCCTCCTGCTCCCGGCCCACTGGAGCTAGAGGCGTTTCTTCACTCAGACAGCTGCTGGCTGCTGAGGCTGAGAAGCCCCAAGGTTGACAAGTAAAAAGGCACAGTCCC